GTTTGAACTAAACTATAATATCAACTAAATTAAACTATTATTAATTATAAACTAAATTGAACTACATTAAAAAAACAAATTTAAAATCAACATTTTTAAATTGAGCTACCAAATCATTGATATTAATTATGAATTAAATTTAAAATAGTTTGAAATGTAAAACAAGTATAATATTGATAAAAGTCCACATGATAGATTTTTCATTCATATTTTTTGAAAATCAATCAAATCTTATTAATTTTTCATCAATTTACTGATCTTATTAATTATTAAATAAAAAAGTTTGGATGGGGAAGGGTTGGGGTAGTTAGAAGCATGAGGACCTAGGTTCAATCCTCACTGCAACCATCTTTGTAATATTTCCTAAATTTACCAATAAATAAAAAAGTTTAAAAACAATATCTAAATATTACATGTAACTATTTTTTTAAGTTAATACGTTCTTTACAAAATAGTATGAATTTTAAAAAATATTATAAAAATGTATACCATTACTTTTATAATGTTGTAAACTCAATTGTTAAATTCAATTAATTAATATTATATTTTTTTTATTAAAATAATAATATTTTTTAGCATCAAAAATAAAATTACTTGGATAATAAAGAGAGAAGTTTGTACATACATATATAATACATTTTTTTTTAATTTTTATAATAAGTATATTAAAAATATTGAAAGAGTAATAATTATGAAAGGTATATAAATTTTTATTCAATTAATAAATGAAAATTAATTTTTCTTTTAATCTTGTAAATTAATATAAAAAAATGTGTAGTTGTGTATAATAACACTAAACCACTAGTATACTGACTCAAAAGTGGGCAATAGGCAAAATTGAAAAGTTACGAAAAAGGTATTAATAATAAGAATTCAGTTTTATTAATAGTTTGGTTTAACAAACTACTATTTAGAAAATAATTTTATATTTATAAAACTGAACATAAAATTCATTTTAGTTCAATTTTTATAAAAATAATTTAGTTTTTTCTATTTTAATTCAATTTAATTATTTATTAGTTTAGTTCTAATTAATTATTTAGAACATTTCCTAATTATAAGTTTTTTTTTAATAGTTAAAGTGCACTAAACTACTTTTTATAATAGTTTAGTTTTTAAAACTTCAAATATAGTTTAGTTTAGTTTTTATAAAAATTGGTTTAGTTTTTTATAATTTAGTTTAGTTTAATTTTTACAATAGTTTAGTTTAATATAGTTTTTTGAACACCCCTAGTTTCTGGCCATAACTCTAGTAATTGGGTCCTTGGCCCATGGTCCATCAAGGTGGGTGACGAAAGAAAGCTGGATTGTGAAGGGGTGTGTCCTAAATTGAAGTTGGAGATAGAAGGTTTAAAATTTCAACAAGATTTCTATGTCTTTGATCTTGGAGGAGTGGATGTGGTGTTGGGAATGGAATGGCTGGCTAGTCTAGGAGAAGCAAGAGCAAATTTTCGCGATTTAACTCTTAGAATTCTGATTACGGACAAATATCACACACTGAAGGGAGACTCCGATTTAACGAGAGCTTTAGCTTCTTTAAAGTCTATTTTAAAGGCTCTATGTGATCAAGGTCATGGATTCTTAGTAACATACTGTTCGATGCAAGTTGAAAGCAGAGAACCAGCAATTTGTCCCACTTGGACAAAATTGGTTTTGGAAGATTACAATTCAGTCTTTCAAGAGCCGCAAGGATTACCACCTCCCAGAAGGCAGGACCATGCAATTCGATTGAACAAAGGTCTAATATCCCGACCTTCGACCGTACAGGTACCCACACTGTCAAAAGAATGAAATTGAAAGGTTGATAGATGATATGCTTAAATTTGGTATAATTAGACCTAGTGTTAGTCCTTATTCGAGTCCTATAATCTTAGTAGAAAAAAAAAAGATGGTGGATGGCATTTTTTGTGTAGATTGCTAGGCTCTTAACAAGATTACTATACCAGATAAGTTCCCTATCCTTATTATTGATGAATTGCTTGATGAATTGGGAGGAGCAGTGATTTTTTCCAAGTTTGATTTACGATCTAGTTACCATTAGATCAGGAAGAGGGAAGAGGACATTCGTAAAACAGCTTTTCGGACTCATGAAGGGCATTATGAGTTTATTTCCATGCCTTTCGGGCTCACCAATGCACCTTCTACCTTTCAATCTCTTATGAACGAGGTGCTAAAGCCGTATTTGAGGAAATTTGTGCTTGTTTTCTTTGATGATATTCTGGTTTACAGTAAGGGTGATGATGAACATCAGAGGCATTTACGGGTAGTTTTGGCATTATGAAGGAGAACTAATTGTTTGCTAATAAGAAAAAAATGTACTTTTATCCAAACTCAATTGGAATACTTGGGTCATATCATTTCAGCAAAGGGGGTGGCAGGAGATCCACGAAAAATTGATGCTATGTTAGATTGGCCAATACCTAAGGATATTAAAGCTTTGAGGGGATTTTTGGGATTAACAGGTTACTATAGAGGGTTTGTTAGAGACTATGGTAAGATAACTAGAACTTTGACTCAACTATTGAAGAAGGATGAATTTCAATGGAATGTTGAAGCACAAGCTGCCTTGGACAAATTAAAACACTTGGTGGCCGAATTGCCTGTATTGACCGTCCCCAATTTCTCCAAAACATTTATTATAGAAACTGATGCATCAAACAAAGGGCTAGGGGCGGTTCTATTGCAGGAGGGTAGGCTTGTGGCTTTCCTCAACCAAACTCTACCTAATAGGGCCCAAAATGATACCAATATTCTTTCAATAAGTCTCTTTTGGCTCAAACCTAAGTATTCTTTGAATTGTCTCTTCAAGCAATCTACCTAAGTATTCTTTCAATACAAAGCCTCTCTAGACTTCAATACCAAATATTCTTTTACAGCCAAGTCTCTCTAGGCTCAAACGAGTATTTTTTTACAAATAAGTCTCTTTAGGCTTAAGTAATTATTCTTTTATAGACAATCCTCTTCAGGTTCAAATGAGCATTCTTTTATCAAACAAGCCTCTCCAGGCTCAACTCTATAACAACAGTTATATATGGGTAAAGTTTTTACAGATATTGTTTCGTTTTACATATAAGACGTGATACAACCAATTCAGCACAATATCTTTACAAAAAGAATGAATGAATGATTTGTACAAAGGTTCTCTCTAAAAATTGATTCTTTTTCTTTATGTTCTTTAGGTTCCTTATATAGTAGCCTAGATGAAAATGATTGTTAAAAAACCTTGAGGATTCCTCACAAGCTTGCTTTGTCTATCTTCGTTATGAGTCTCTTGAGATGAGAATTGTTCATTGATGCACTAATGCGTGCATTAATTGCATTTCACCATATTGTCACTTCTTATTTGATCAGGATGGTTACTTATTAGCTTTAGGATACCAAATAGACTTTCTGTGGCGTGTGTTAGCGAAGAACAGGTTCTGCATCAACTTTTGTTAACCTTTTCTATGATTTCTGGGATCTACTTGTCTTTGTTTCTTATGGACAATGTGACTTCATTCACTTTAACATATTTGTGAGTTTTAATGAGCTTTCTTTGTTTGATTTGTTAAGAAACTGGTTAATCATTCACCAAGTAGTCATTACTCATTATAAATGATATGCATTTAAGATTTTATGAAGTAAGACTTTATGCTTCGTCTGACGATACATTGTCTATCTAAAGGTTTGCATCTTATGCTTCGTTTGATTTATTTTTTGTAAAAATATTTTCCCTTTAGAAAAATGTTCAGTTTGTTATCATTAAAATTTGAAAGCTTGAGGATTTAAAATCATCTTTTGACTTAACATATTTTATAATATTATATTATTTTAACCGTGACATAAGGATGTATACAATTTTTACATATTCATTTGTTTGATTTTCAACCATCATTGGTTTTGTAATGTGGTAAACTTGAACACACCAAAATCATATGAATGTGAAAATACAAGTTGCAATTATGATTTGGGGGTTTCCCTGTCATACAACATACATAATAAATGAGATTATGGGTCAATCTCGCTATTCCACAAATAACCCACACCCTAGAATGATATAATTTACTCCCTTTTTTTCTAGTTGACTACCAAATGTTGGGTGTAGATCTCTGAGGTTGTCTCTAAATGTTTCCTATTCTCCAATCTCTTCAAAGCACAAAAGAGTAAAGAAAAAAGTAAGATGTGTGAGACAATCTTAATGTAACTTTTCTTTATAAAGGAAAATCTAACCTTGTTTAACCCCTTAGTTAAAATAATTAACTATAATTACTTATTTTTTCCTCATAATTAAATAATTTTGAAACATTTTTTATATAATAATACTCATAATTGTAAATTAATCTAATTCTTTTTTTAAAAAAATTATTATTAATTTATTCTAAAAACTTAGAATGTTACTCTTCTCTTTATATGCAGTCAAACAGTACAAAACAGACTTTGTTGAACCATAAAAAATAAATAAAAAATAAAAAAACTAATGCTAGGAGCTTGTTAGCATAGAACAATGCAAAAGTAGAGGAAAGGTAGCTTTAGTTATTTCATAATTTTCCTTTTCTGAATTTTGTTAGACAAAGAATTTTTTTACTATGACTAATTCAACAAAAGTGAACATATTAAATGAGACAAATAAAATATACATTCTCATGGGATACTACCAAGAAATTTGTAATTCTATTTTATTTTCTCTATTCTCCCCTACAATATCACAAGGAGATAAAATACATATAGTACCGCAAAGTCTTTTCATATTTTATGACTCCAAAAACACAGAATACTACCAATTCATCAACAATACTTAACGGGATCCGAACCTTGACAAGAAACAAAAAAATTGCATATTTAGAGAAAAACATGCACATTAGAGCAAGTACATTGTAGCAAGTATTATTAGCATTTAATAGGAGGTGAAGTAATGGGATGACCATGGTTTCTTGGCCAAAAAGCCCACATCGAGTAATATACTAAGTAGAATTGAAAAAATTGTTATAAAATGAAAAGGGTTGCAATTGTTTTCATTACGGAGCTGTGTGATAAGCACAAAGCGAACTATTCTTTCGCCTTTTACTAAAGGATACCGTGTGCATGTCACTTTAAGCAGCATACGCTAATTTTTGTAAAAGGGTCTTTTAGACCCTATAACAGTAGTTCTAATTTTGTTGCCGGTTCTAGGACTGAGACTTAAGTTAAAGTTTGAATTCTTGTTTCATGTTCTTTAACACTATCGGGGTAATCCAATGGTGACTTTTGAATTGTAGTTTAAATATTGAATGTTTTTAAACAATATAAGATAGCTTTTAGAAATTTTAAGATTTTGAACAATTTCATCGTAGTTTTATATTAACATCAACAGCATGAAATAGAGAAAACTTTTTGTGCAAAAGCAATATAAGATAGCTTTTAGAAATGTTGAGGTTTTTGAACAATTTCATCATAGTTTTATAATAACATCAGCAGCATGAAATAAAGAAAACTTTTGTGCAAATGTGATTTCTCAAAAAGTTGTTGCATCAGCCAACCTTCCATGGCCATAGCCAACATCCCGGAATATAAGAAAAAGAAGTGAAGTGTTTTTTACACTATAAAATGAAAAAACTGAAATTAGTTGTTAATATGAAACCGTGTGATAAACACAATGCAAACTATTCTTTGCCTTCACTAAAGAATTCGCTAGTCATTTTAATCACTTTTAAGCTGCATACACTAATTTTTGTAAGAGTTTTCAAAAGAGCACCCTGCATGTTAAAGTTAAAGTTTTTGTAATGGATTCTCAAAAGAGGACCCTGCAATTTTTAGTAAAAGCTTTTGTTATTATTATTTTTTTTTTATCAGCAACAAATTTTAGATAAATCTGAATGATGCCCCGGATTCAACAAGGTTTTAACTTTTAAATAATTTCATAAACCAGAATTTTGAGGAAATTTCCACCTAGATATGAACATCAGCCTCAAATTCATCAATATTAAAATCAGTCTTATTTAGTTACTTTTCCAAAGAATGACTCATCTCCCATGCTGTACATTGACATCATTTTGATTCTAAATGTTTTGTTGCACAATCGGATAGAAATGGCCTAACTTAATTTCTCTCTTGACATTCATGTCATCCCACAAAACATGAAATGAGTAGTGGCACTCCATTCTCATTGTGCTCAGTGACATTTCCAATAACCAATTCAGTGCTGTGGACAACATCTTTCACATTGGTGAGAGTTTTCTTTTTGGTTTTGCAGAAACATATCTTTAACTTGAGAATGATTTTTTCAGAATCTAAAAGCTTAGCATTATGTTCCAACTGTTCTAGTTGAGTCAAGGTGAAAATCATGTTCTGGAATGAAATCAAAAATCAAAGACATCAACTGCTAACAAGAGGAATTAAACATATTGGAAAAAACCCAAACTCCACATCGATTAGAGATTAGACAATTAAATAAGATATAAATAGAAATTTTATAAACTTATAAGGTTAAATTACATTTAAATCTATTATTTTAAGATGGTATCTCAAATACTGTCAAACCTAGATCATTAAAAAGGAAAAGATTTCATCAATTCCTTTTACTTGAACTTTCATCCACACTATAGAAAAAGAGGGAAAAAAAAAAAAAGAAAGCTTCCAGAACAGATCCAATACTCTGAGATAATTGTCATTGCAAGAAGTTCCTAATAATATTCCATTATTTTTTCACTGTTTCTAGTAGAAACAAAGGATAATGTCAATTATAATTGACAGAATGCAAATATCCATCAACCACAATGCAAGTTTTAATAAAATATTACAGTTAACAGATCCCAAAATGTGGAAATCAAGTGAACTAGAGTAACGGAATAATATCTTTGATATTTGTTAATTTGCCTCGTCCAACACTATAGTTATGTATGTGATTGGCTAAAATAAACTACAAACTAAAAAGAGAATGCTAATTGTTGAACTCATCATATATATATCCTGTCATGGTAAGTGCATGCTGCAAGTGAAAAAAAATAAAAATAAAAAAATTTCAAAAGTGAACATGTCTTGGGAAGAACTTTTCCAGAAGAACAGATGAAATTAAAATTTCTATGCAAAAATTGAAATTTTCTTTCTATACAGAAAGGAATAAAAAAAGAGATAAAAACATATGATATAGACATGTCTTATAGACAGTATAGTGTCATTCTCTTGTGTGAAATATAATTCTTTGAAGTGATTATTAGTTACTCTCTATCTTGTTTGCGTATAAACTAAAAGTAGTTACTGCATGTCTCATTAGCACACCATTCATGTAATATAATAATGTTGCAAGCACATAAAAAGCACCTCAGTGGATTAAGACAGAATTTCTTTAGCCTAACAGAAAAAGGTGTTTATAAAGTATACTTGACTTTGACTCCCAATCGATGTGAAACTATTAGACATAACACATTTCAATTTTAGAAGACCTGTCCTGCTTCTAAATAAGAAGTGAAAAAGCCAACCAAAGAAAAGATTATGAAAGAGCATTCAGAATTTTTGGATATCCTAAGTCATTCTCCATTTTCTTGTAGTGCAATCTGGAACCCAAGTAACTAAGAAAAGCAATTTCAAAACGTTGTCAACTTTTTTAGGGATATAGTAAAAACAAAGGAAAAAATTACACCGGTAAAAGTTTGACCAATTTCTGAACCCTGCACTAATTGCCTCATAACAATTCGCATTACCATGACAATAACTCAGTCACAATAGGATACTAGTAGTGACACTGACACTAAGATGACAGGAGCAGTAGTCCCACATCGAAAGAATTAAAGCTAAGACATAAGTTTATATTATGCGGTTCCATGACCTTCCAGCGCCCTCGCTGGCACACCGGCCCGGGAACCGGCTCTGATACCAATGTAACAGCCCAAGCAACCCGCATGTAGATATTGTCCGCTTTGGCCCACGGCCCTCACGGATTTGTTTCTGGCGATGGCACGCATGCCACCCCAAAACGCGTCTACACAAGGAAGGTGTCCACACCCATATATATGGCATGCTTCGCTCTCCTTCCTAACCGATGTAGGTCGTACCTCTGTATCCTTGAGATCTAAGGAGACAGGAACCTACGTCTGGTTGATGAGCCACGACCGTGTGATCAGAGCGTGATTAACTGTCTGATGTGTTCCTCTAGGGGGAGCTTCATCTGCGACTGTAGAGGATCGTTCTTGGTCCAGTGGTGGCCGAGATGGTCACACGGTTGTCTGACAGACCCAAATATTTTTGCCATTCTACATTTTATTTTTTACATTCATTATTAAGAAAACAGACCCCAAAATGTAGTAAAAGAAAAGGAAAATTATTAGGTTTTCTCCTATTTGGCGGGTGTTGGGTTGGATTTCATTTCATGATGAAATATGGAATGAATAAGGGAATGTCCCTCTCCCAAACATAACTTACTCAGTTCCCTTCTCCAAAACAGGTCAAAGAAGGTGCACACACAAAAACAAGTCAAAAACTTCTTTGGTTCAAAGGGTAACGGTGGAATTTCATTCTCTTGAAAAAGACAGTTGGATTATTTTGGGCTTTCATAAGGTGCTTGCTTATTATGGCAGCCCAAAATTCCATAATTGGGCTTTATTCATAAACTATGCTTTTTGCTTCCTTTGCATCTCGTTTTACCACCTGCACCCAGCACTATTTCTAAAACCCTAAACTATCCTTAAACACCCATTTTGCATTTTTCGTAATATATATATATATATATATAATTTTAAAATAAATATTCCAGAACACATATCATTTTTGAGTGACTATTGAATGGCTATTGTAACTTGAATTACTTAATTTTGATAGGATCCATTATTGTAATTTGCAACACCAATTATATAACATATAGTAAAGGATATTTAGGAGACATAGTAAACAGTGTGATTATCACATAAATAAAATAAGAGCACTTGTTCAATACAAGACTCTAACTAGAAATAAATAAATAAATAATAATAATAATAATAATATAAGATCACTTTTCCTTATCATTCACCCCTACCTCTAACCTTTTCTATTCCTATTGTCTTTGTAAGGATTTTTTTAAGGCATGATGTAACTTATTTGAAAGTTTGATATGATCTAAAAGTTTATTTATGCAACGTGTTTTATGCAATATCTATAAATAGATAAATAAACCTAAATAGGTCAATAGACTTATAAACCTAAATGGGTTAATAGGCCAAAGTATTAAATATATTATTATTATTAATTATATATTTAAAATGAATATTAATTATAAATTAATATAATATAATATTACTTTTATTTTAAATAAGTCTTTCTACTATGCATCTCTAAAAGTTTAAAATTCAGTTTGTTTTTAATTAAAAAGGTTTTCTATAACATTTAAACATGATTTTTTTATCAAGCTACCTGTAGGGGTGGTTAAAAAAATTGAACTCTTCAAGATAACCTAACTTGACCTATTTTTTTGGCAAAGCAAGTTAAGATTTTCAATATACTAATTCATTTTGACTAACTTCACTTTGATCTACCAAGAAACATGTTAAAGATAAATTGGAGAGAGTCAATTTATTACCTTTTATTTTTTAAAATTCTAATATAATGTTACTTTTTTGTATTAGTGTTTCAATTTATTATAGTTATACAATATTTAAATAAAATAGTATTTTTAGTTTTGATCTTTTTGAATGTTTTTTTTTGTATTATACCTTATGTAATTACATATGCACATTAATTAAGTGTAAATAATTCCTTTAATTTTTTATGAATTTTATTATTTAATTTATTGTTTTAAAATAAATTATTATTCAAAAATTACATTAATATATATATATATATTTTAATAATTATCACATATAAATAAAATAAAATATTTATTTTTTAATTGTAACCCATGAGTAAACAAGATGGGTTTAAATTTTCAAACCACTTCTATGCGGAGCAAGACAAATTGACCCGTTTTTGGTTGAATAAGGTGGATTAATCCTGTTTTATTACTCTTAATTGTGGACTTCTAATATATTTATTTGTCTGATATATTATCACTCTTATATTGAATGTTAAATTGATATAAGAATAGAGGTAAAACCATTAAATACTAACATTCATATTTCACTGCACTTTTTATGAAATATATATGACTAGCAATATTTTGTAAATTATTTTCTATATTTAAAATTTCCAAAA